TCTTCGTTTAATGATAATGTTATTCAGCTTATCAGACGTTATGAAAAGAATTTACATAAAATAGTCATCACTTGTCTATATTATTTAATGAAACATGTATGAATATATGTGTGTGTGTGTGTGTGTGTGTGCGTGCGCGCGCGTGTGTGTGCATGTGTGCGCGCGTGTGTGCATGTGTGCGTGCGCGCGCGTGTGTGTGTGTGTGCGTGCGAGTGTCTGTGTGTGTGTGTGTGTGTGTGTGTGTGTGTGTGTGTGTGTGTGTGTGTGTGTGTGTCGGATATAACGACACTTTCCTCTATCCAGAGAGACACAGATCCGTATACTATTTTTCTTTAATGTTTCTCGAATATTCAGACGGGTAAACGAAAATAAATAAATATACTGTTTAATAAATAAATGAGGCGTCTACTCAAATATGAGTATCCACTAGAAATAACGTTTAAAGTGATAAATGTCTATGTGCGTGCGCGTGTGTGTGGACAGTGAGGTCAACACCATGCTGCGACAGTCTGTTTCATGCTTGAACGCACTCTTCAGGCAAAAGACAAATCAGGCCTCAATGGAGTACTGCTGCCATATATGGGCAGTTGCTGCCTAGTCTTCACATTCGAGTGTCGATAGACACGAAAAGCGTCTCCCGGTCCTTATGGATGACAAATTATTTTCCATCCTGCAACCTCTTTCCCCATAGATAAAACGTCGCAAGGTCCTCACTGCCCTGTCGCTGTTTTTCATGGAAAGTGTTCAGACGTACTGCATTAATTAGCTCCACCAGTTCTAACTTTAAACGGCGAAGACCCGCCATGCTACGAACATTGTCGCGAACCATCCACATTCCTTCCGTATTCCACTTGTGTCATGTAAGTCCCACTCGAGCGGCTTCTTCCCGCAAGCTGCTACTGTATGGAGCCGAACATTTTTTTTTTTTCGACGATCACTACAATCTTAATAATTCAAGTTTAGGATTAACCGTTATCTTCCCTACGTATCCGTATAAACTGTACCACGTATTCTCTAATATTCTACCTGGAGTGGCTCCTGAGCCTTGATAGGATGAACATCACAGTAAAAAAAAAAAGATTGCCCAAAGTTTGCATTCAATCTGTTGCTGTCCATTTCTATATTTATATACGCTCTATCCCTGATATTGATTACTTCTACCTATAAATATAGCATAACTTAAAACAATATTTTTATCATATCAATCAGGACACTCATTAGAAAACTGTAAATGTTTATTGATAGATTCTGATTTCAATTCCACATATACACGCAGAAAAAAAGAAAAATACTGGATTTTAAAATTAAATACATATAAACTAGGGTTAAATAAAGACTTGGGTATTTTTAATCTTTATAAATATTTCAATAGTTAAACTTTTTTTTTAAACAACATCTAAAATATTATTACAGTTAGATTTACGTTAAAAATATTCGAACACAGTGGCGTTCCATATCACGTGACGTCCGCATCTCGCGACGGACGCTACTTGTAAACAAAACTCTAAAAATAGTTATTTTTGAAGAAAGATCGAGGTCGATCTGAAATATCAAATATAAATAAATACTTTCATTAAAAAAACATCTTTTTAATTTGCAACTTTATATATATATATATATATATATATACTCAAGAATTTTTATCTCATGGGATGTTTAGTTAATTCTCTGTGTGTGTGGTATTGTGGTAGATGCATTCAGAATGCTTTAAAAATTCCATTTACAAGACAATTATTTATGATAAAATTCTATTCAATTGGGAGACTCATAACGATTGAAAACAATGTTTTTGTTTGAGTTTGGGTTTGACCAATTCGTAAAAAAAAAACTAATTAAGACATGCGTGTCCGTCAACCTTAAACAATATTCTAACGATCTCTACTGATTGTACGAATGCAAACATCGGATAAATTCTTCATCATTAGGGAAAGATAATGAAATCTAAACATACACAAGTCCTAACTAAAAATAATAACCGGAACGGGAAACTACTTTAAATACACATGTCTCGGAATGCCCACGTTAAAAAGGCCTTGTGCCACATGACACCCTCGTGGGGGGTGACTCAATATCATAAGTAAAAATCATAAATTGTAAAAGATTATTATATATTACAGAGAAGGCTAATAAATGAATAAGATTTGTTAGATCATAATTAATAAACACAAATAAAGTTAATATTTTTTGTATTAGAAACAACGAGTGGAAAATATATTCAAATCAGAATTCTAATTATGAATCACCACAAGCAAAATATGCAATTTTTTTTACTGTATTCAATAAGTAAAAATTATAAATTGTAAAACTAAAAGATTACAGAAAGGCTACCTACATTTTTCAACCGATTTCAACAAAACTTCACTTTTTTTTTTTTTTTTTTTTTTGTTTTCTTATTGTCTTGCACACTTTTTTCTTAATTTTTACATTCAGAATGCTTTAAAAATTCCATTTACAAGACAATTGTTTAAAATAAAATTCTAGTCAATCGGTAGAGACTCATAACGATTGAAAACAATGTTTTTGTTTCAGTTTGGGTTTGATCAATTCGTAAAAAAAAAAAAAAACAATTAAGACATGCGTGTCCGTCAACCTTAAACAATAATCTTTGTCAATTTTATTTTTCAGTCTTTATGATGGTGAATACTTGATCTATCTCTTTACTGTTATTCCCGGGCAACGCCGGGCTCTACTACTAGTTTATATATATATATATATATATATATATATATATATATATATATATATATATAAACCTACTTAGACTCTCTGCTAAATACTAACATAAAAATATAATTTAAATACAAATATAGACATTTAACATGTAGTTTCAAATTTAATACAAAATATATCATAATTATATAATTAAATTATAGCTCTGTTATTATACATCGAGCACAATTTTATTCGTACCAGCATTCAATGTGTGATATTTTATATTATATATATATATATATATATATATATATATGAAGAAATATAGTCTTAAGATGTGCTATATTTATGGGATAAAGTCCTCAATATCACAGATAGAGTGTAAATATAAAAGTGAACATAAAGTCAACACTTAGGCGACAGTGTTTCATGCTAGATGCAATCGTCAGGCCTGACGTCAGCATGAAAAACGGACGGACTTGTCGCATGTTCACTTTTATATCTATATCTATCTATCTATCTATCTATATATATATATATATATATATATATATATATATATATATATATATATAAACTATTGATATACGTAAATTAATGCAATTTATCATATACCAAGGTGAGCAGAATTTTGGCAATAAATTTCAGTTGCGTATATATATATATATATATATATATATATATATATATATATGTGTGTGTGTGTGTGTGTGTGTGTGTGTGTGTGTGTCTGTGCTGTATCTGTGTGTGTGTGTGCAACCGATAGGTAATTAATGGATTCATTTCTTATTATTCTAAAGGTTATATTAATGAATACACTTGTTTGAGTGAGCATCAGCTTTTTTTAACATCGAAACTAATGTACAGCGGCGTAGGTACAGAAAGTCTTATTAAAGAAAATTGCATTCTTGGAATGGATTGAATCTGTATTCCTTTTATCCTACCGGAAGGTACATTAAACCTTTCTGTATCTAGGCCGCTGTATATTACAGGGCTTGAAAAATGGGAATGTCCGCCGAAACATTTTTATAGTAATAATAACAATAATAGTGGATAGGTTCCCCGGTCTTTTGAACGGAAGTAGAGATTTGTCCTTTGTTTCCCTTTTACAATTGGGTTTCCGGTCCCTTCTAAAGTTTTTTTCATTTTCTTTCTCTTCCAACAGACCCTTGCTTAGGGAGAATTAATTAAAAATAAAAATGAAAATGATGTCAGATTAAAATTCATTAATTACTTAAATTGGTGTGTTTCAGTAACGAAAATACAGTTAGCAGATACAGATTTTGAAACTCCAATTTCATAAAAAGGAATAATTTAGCGTTGCTTTACTATAGAGGCCTCTGCGTCCGGTTGTTATAGAACGCCTGGCTAAAAGTTAGTTTCCCAGGATAATGCAAGTTCCATTCCGACCGGTGGACATTAATTTCACTATTTGAAAAAAAAAATCAAGAATTTCTAATCAGATAGGTGCAATTTCTATAGTATTAATAACTATATGGACAGATAGATAATAACTTTGATAGATGGTAAACGACTCTGAAGATGTCCGTTAAGCGAACAGATGGTACTTTTGTTAGTTTCGAAAATCCTTCCACTCCCCGCAAAACACAGATAGTTTTCCGAAAGCGGTGCTCGTTGAAGATTTGAGTAAACACTACACGAGCCTTGACATCTCTGTTGTAAATCCAGTTAAGTTGATCATTTTGTCAACGAATTGGTTTGGCGTAAAGATTAATTATTTGTTGTTTGTTTTTTTTTTTTTTTTTTGTTTTAGAGGCGTGTAGGAGGGAGGTCTTGGAAGCTGTTTTTTTGTTTTGTTTTTTTGTTTGTTTTTATTTTGCAAGAGATGACATCTTAAAAATATAGTCTGATTGCTTTGCAAACTGAATAAAATGGACACATCAAAACTGCACATTGCTTTTACGAATTCCTTCCGTTGCTTTTTACAAACTAACCAAAATATCGTCCTACGAACAGAGAAAAGTAAATTTGTCATAAACGTTCTCTTCCCAATCTAAAGCCGCTCTCTTTCTCTCTCCCTTATTTACACCCTTATAAGCTTTCTTACTATTTCCCTTTTTCATTTCATCCCACACCAATTAATCTTATAGATTCTTCATTCAATGCAGAATTATCCTTAATGGATTAGTTAGTTTAAGTTTAATTCTCTTAATCTGACGGCGTATAAGACGCGTATTTTATTCACAACAAACCTAACAATAACTCCACACGTCCTATATACGGAAAAATTGCTGAACTGAAGTAAAATTTCTTATCCAAAATGTTCTCTACAGAAACAGGGTGGTTGTCGTCTTATATGACCACACGTCTTGTATTCATTCAATTAGGGAATTTGACTTTTTCATTCTTTTTTCTTGATATTTTTCTTCCTGTTTTCGTTTATTTTCTCTCTCTCTCTCTCTTTCTCTCTCTCTCTCTCTCTCTCTCTCTCTCTCTCTCTGTACTTATTTTCCTCCCTTCTATCTTTTTATTTTCTCCCTTTTCTCTCCCTATACATTTTGCTCTCGTTTTCTTTTCTTCCTTGTTCCCCTTCTCTTTTCTTTATTTCTTCTACCCTTTCTCTCTTTGTTTCATCAACATTTCTTCTTACTCTTTGTTTTCTCTCTCTCTCTCTCTCTCTCTCTTTCTACTTATTTTCTTCCCTTCTATATTTTTACTTTCTCTCTTTCCTCTCTCTATACGCTTCTCTGTCCATTCTTTTCCCTGTTTGTTTCCTCTCCCTTTTCTCTATTTTTCCTATCCATTCTCTCTTTGTTTCGTCAACATTTTATCTCCCATTCTCTTTTGGTTTCCTCTCTCTCTCTCTCTCTCTCTCTCTCTCTTCTCTCTCTCTTTTTTTTTTTTTTCCTTTCTGTATCTTATTCCTCTTGCTCTCTCAATCTTCCTTTCCTTTCTTTTTTTACCTTTATCTCTCTCCTTTCCTTTTTACTATCGAACATCGGCAGTCAAAACACTGTGTGTGTGTGTGTGTGTGTACACACACACTAATAAATTCCAGTGGAAATCGGTCATCTTTGTTATTGAGCCAATCTACGTCGCAGCCTTATACCTCTCCAGAAATCACCGGACCCCACTACCATGCTCTATCTTTACAAGGGTCAGATGAGACCCGATATGGAGCATTACTGCTCTATTTGCCCTGGAGCAGTTTCGTCTCATTCTATTTCTTCCGAAATTACCGGACTTCTCCTGCTATGCTCTATCTTTTAAAAGAGTCAAGTCAGGTCAAAAATGAAGTACTACTACTATAGCTGGCCTGGAGCTTCCCAATGCTTACTCCAGTCTTGGCAGAGTTCAAAAACACATAAGGACCTCGTAGATGATTGTTTTCCACCATACAACCTCTTTATCAAATGTCGCAAGCCTCTTACTGTTCTAACGCTATTTCCATTAAATTAGTTCCAGTAGTTCAGAGTCCTTCACGCCCAGAAAAAAAAATTAATTCATGGGCCTTGTATGTAGTAAACAATAATGTAAAAAAGTACGACTACAAGGATGTGGCACCCGGTGAGGATTAAACTCATTGTTAAGTATTTTTAATCAAACCGAATAACCTTGCTACCCATTACTCCGTGCCAATGTACGCTACTCTCATTCATTAAGCATTATCAGCATTGATTATCGCAAGCATACAGGAGGCATGGTGGAGTAATGGATAGCGGCTTGGATTGGGGAATCAGAGAGCTGAGTTCGAATTCCAGTCAGAATATTATATTCACTTACGGGCTAATAACCTTGGGAAAGGTATGAATCCTCTTCATCTCCCCCAGCTATGGGTAAATAGCAGGACAGACCGGGTTCTATAGCCTTGGGTGGCTATTGGCCATTATACCATTCCTACATCCAAGCTTACAGTACATGTTATTGAACAGTTTCGACGTTGTTTATAGGTTTGCTTATTGCCAGGTCCACACTCATCCTCGGGTTTTGAACAGGGGTAGAGGTTCATCCCTTGTTTCCTGTTTAAGATTGAGTTTCCGCTCCCTTCTAAAGGCTACTTCAACTCTATTCTCCTAAAGTCACCGCCCGAACTCTAAAATTTTATTCGCTAATTAAATCTTGACCTCTTCAAGTCTAGAATTAGATATCTTGCTCTTTGTATCGCTAATGCAATTCCGCAATTCTACCTTGAGTGGCCCTTGGACCTTGTATTCAATGAACTTTGATAAAAAAAATAAAAAAAACTTCGGGAATTAGTGTTTCAACGTGGTGTGGCCGTAAGCTACTCTGGTCACTGTGGCTGTTTTGTGGCTTCACAAATTTTCGATTTGTTTCCGAAAAAGATGGCGGCGATATTTAACAGTGAATAGGCAGCGAGAAAAATTACATTTTAAAATAAGATTTTAACGCAAAATGTTCGATGATTTATTTTTATCGAGTCTTTTTCTGTAAAAAAAAAAAAAAAAAAAAATTACTAAAATAAAACGAACAAAATAAATCAATACTCCTCCTTTATTCGAAAGAAAAGCGAATTTTGGCGATAAAATAAAATCTGGCGATAAATCTAAATATAACAAAGAATTATGCACGTTTATTGTTTGTCGAATAAATGATAAAAATGACGATTCCAAAGAGAAAGAAAGAAAAAAAATGAACAAGTTCATCTCATCTTTTTCTCCTTGCTGCTATTTTCTTGTCATTGATTTAGCCAAGTGTTCTGAGCTGCTTTAGATTCGATAAGCAAGAAAGCCATTAATTTAATAAGGTTATATAAATACTGTCAAAAGACGTCTTTCGACAATTGGCCATTGTCCTTTTATTTTGTTTTTGCTGCATCGCCTTTTCTTTCATTAGAGATTTTTTTGGTTCAATCTCAATAATGACTTTATTACTTATGCTCCGATACCCTTTCAATATTGCCGCTTGTTTTACTCTAGAATAAAAAAAATCAATAGAATAAATCTATCGATTTTTGTCAAAGACTATTTTTCTGAAAACGCTTCAAGTTTGGATACGAATCTACTACTCACATGTACTTGTGTGATTTTACCTGAGTGTAATGTACACTAATTATTTCAGCCTCGATCTATAACGAAAGGGGGCATTTCGATGGTGTAACTGTTAGCAGGCTAGTCTCGCAGATCAATTACAACTAAATACTGAGTTCGATTCTCATTGGGTACCCCATACTTTCAACCTTGTGCAGATGTGTGTACGTGTGCGTGCTTGATTGAATGTGACACGGGAGGAAAACTCTACAAGGTTTTTTATTAAGTTTTTTCTTCTAATGTTCTTGCAGTTTTCCTTTATGGAGACTAAGAGAGGCTTGCAGTCATATCATGTTGAAAGACCGGTTCTCGTCCGATCAGCGAAGTTAAGCAACGTCGAGCCTAGTCAGTACCCAGATAGGTAACCGTTGGGGAATATCAGGTGATGCTAGCTACGCGACAAGCATAAGAACCCGGCGACATGCAACGAAACACATATAAAAGTCACATACAATGAAACATGTATAAAAAGAAAGTTTATATATATAAAGATATATATATATATATATATATATATATATATATATATCATTGAAAAATACATCCCTACCCCTACTAAAACGTAACTAATAACTGATACATCAAAATACAGCGATAATGAACACCCAAACACCCCTTGTCTGGTTGAATAGATTTCTCTGTATCCTTGGAAACGTGAATTATGATTTTTGCCGAGCCTTTAAACCCAGTAAATTTAAAAATAAGTTACTCCAAAATTTGCTTGAGGATGAAATGGAACTAATGTCTTTAATTTTATTACAAAATTAAATTCGAAGCTTTTAGCTTCCATTTGTGAAACATGGTTAGAACTGTGTAGCGAAAAAAAACATTTTAAATCAATTAATTTATAATATTAATGCTTTGTAAATTTACATTGGGCACTATTTTCTAAAAATAAAAATATCTATAAGAACACCGGATTATATATCTTACTGTTCTTTCTTTATATATATATATAACATGTTATAAACTCACTATAAAAATAGCCATTTTGTTTCAATACTTCTGGTGTGTTGGTGTTGAATGTAGAATAAAAAAGTTTCATTCTACATTCTTTATTCTACAATCAACACCATCACTTGATAAAACACCAGAAGTATTGAAACAAAATGACTATTTTTGTTACGATTTTATAACATTTATGTTATAATTTTCGAATAAATTATATTTGCTCTACTCTGTATTGAGCACTCTTTTAAGATTATTATTTTTTGGTTATTGGAATTTATTCCGTATACACCTTTGTTATATATATATATATATATGTATATATGCGCAGCACTTAGTGTAAAGTGCTCTATATCAGTGATAGAGTAAACATATTCAGTTGTATGGGTATTAATTTGTTACCCATATATATGTATGCTCGAACACATGGATGTCTATCTGCTTGGCTGTGTTTGTGTGAACTAAAATGCGTACACGTGTTTGTATGTGTGTCTATGTGGGTGAGAGTGGCATCCCAAACAAACACAGAAGAAAATTCCCCCTCCCAGGACCAAACATAAATAAGCATGAATAGATCCATTTTAAAAAAATAAACCTGTTGGTCGGATGATCGCATAAGCGTGCAACCCAGGTTCACAAACTAATATCCCTACAACTGAATATATATATATATATATATATATATATATAATAAAAATATAGTTATATGGTATGCTATATTTGTCGTTTAAAGTAATCAAAATCAAAAATAGCGCTTAGGTAAATATAAAAGTGGACACTGTAAACAACACCTAGAGGCGACAGTCTGTTTAATTCTAAACGCAATCGTCAGGCCTGACGAAGTAGATTGTCACCTCTCAGTGTTGACTTCAATGTCCACTCATATATATATATATATATATATATATATATATATATATATATATATATATATTATGCGTTTCACCCCAAGCAAGGCGGGAAGCCACTAGGACGCAAGGGGTTACAGAAGATTTGGAGCAAGATCAGATAGGAGTGATAGAGGAAAGGATGAGGAGAAGGGTAGTGGATAGATCAATGCAACTGGAGATGTCGATTGACATTACGTTTGAATAGTTGGAGATTCTAGCTCTCAGGGAAACTGGAATAGGGAAGGGAGTTCCACAGGCGAGAGGTGCGAGATATGAAGCTATTGGAGTAGAAGAGACGGCTACATTGAATAGTTTCGAGAGTGAAAGGGTGAGAGCGAGATGCCAGCCTCGTAGGGCGCTTGAACTCATGAAGTCTGGGAACCAGCGAATGCAGCTCCTCGGAGCAATTACAAAGCCGTTGCGATGGATTAATTGTCGTCTAAATTACACAGAAATGAAAATAGCACCGACACCTCATTTTAACAGATATATTTACCAAAATTACACAAAAGTATCCTGAAATACTAAAGAGTAATTTTATTCAACAAAATCGCCATTAGCTTCAACTACGGCCTCCAGACAACTTCGGAATCTCCTGCAACTCTTCTGGACAGTCCCCTTGTATAAGTTGGTGAATGCTGCTTCTGTTAATCCTTGGTTTTGCAAAGAGTTATGTTGGTCTCTTGCTTACCTGCGTCCCACACATAATAATCAAGTGGGTTGTAATCTGGGGAGTTATGTGGCTAGACGTAAGGGGTGATTTGGTCGCAGAAATTGTCTCACAGACATGAGAGAGCTTGTTTGGCATGGCGCATAGTCTTGTTGCCAGACATAGGGTCTTCCAGCAGCCACCCTCTTGACCCAGGGCAGCGCAACATCCTCAAGGCTCTTCGCAGATGCGAATTGAGTCACTGTCGGTCACTGGGCGTGTTTCTAAAAATAAATACGCTAAAAATCCACTTTCATCGGCTTTTCATAACTATGAAGCAATTTTAAATAGAAATTTAAAATTGCTTCATAGTTATGACAATTTCACCTTACAAGTTAAGATTTACCTGCAAGGAGGAAGATATATATATATATATATATATATATATATATATATATATATATATTCTTAAAGAATAAACCCTTAAAAATACCATTTGAAAAAATTTTTAAAAACCTTTTTAATATAAATATATAATTATATCTCTTAATATTGAAGTCATGGTGAATTTGTTAATATAAGATAAAAATATCTCCCCTAATTTTCTATGTCTATTTTCCTGATAAAAACTGAAAAGAATATTCTAATATAAGTCAATGTTACGTCATCATGTATCTGTCTACTGCTACTATCCCCATATCTAGACGTTACTACTCTTTCTTTACCTTTTTTCTTTCTCCCTTTCTTCCTCTGCCTATTTTGTCTTTTCACGATTATACTTTTTCCTTTTTTCCGTTTTTCTTCCCTTCTTTTCCTCTGCCTTGTTTTAAAATTTGATTTAGGCCTGGTTTCATTTTATTTTATCTTATTACCTTGATCAATTTGAAAATACTAGCAAGTAAATCTTAAGTTGTAAGGTAAAATGTAAGGTAAGTTTTTATGGTGCAAATTTAACGATAGCTAGGAATAAGCAAAATTTATATGGCATTTTAAAAAGCTAAAAGAAGAACAACCGGTTTTTTTCCCAGGCTTATCAAATTTATTTCTGGGATATAATATATATATATATATATATATATATATATATATATATATATATATATATATAATATATATTCAATAATCATTATTTAATTTTTCTTATTTGATTTGTTGGTATTTTAATTATTAGGGTATTAATTATAGGAGGCGGTTTAAAATCAAATGGCATTTATTGTTGTTAGAATGTGTACATATACTTACATTTACACACACACTTACATATACACACACACACACACATGCACACACACACACACACACACACACACACATATATATATATATATATATATATATATATATATATATATATATATATATACTACCTTTCAAAGTTTGAAGCAACCCTCAAATTACCATGGAATGTACTTGACAGAAGAATGAATAAAAATGTTAAACCGCTTTTAGAATCATTGAAAGAAAGAATGGAATCAATTATCAGACTTATGCTTTGAGAAACTTTTGCAACGAACGCCCAAAGATTTGTGCTGCAGTAATCAAGGCTAAAGGAGGCTATTTTGACGAGAGCCAAATTTAATCATAAAATGCTTCTTCTTTTTCTGTCATAATAAATTTTCTAATAAAAAATCATGTTCACTTTTTTAAGTAGAAAAAAATTATTTTTAGTACAATTATAAAAATTTCCAGTGGTGGTCTCAAACTTTTGAGCTGTAGTGTGCATATACACAAATAAACGCACACTAACACACATACACGTGTATTCGCATATACATATTAATCAATGACTTAATTTAAATGTTAGGATATTAACGATGGCCGCTTAGATTTATTGATGTATTTCTTTGTTACTGTTAAAAAGATATATAAGGTGTATAACCCCCGTCACACACACACACACACACATATATATATATATATATATATATATATATATATATATATATATATATATATATATATTTATATATATATAAACACATATATATATATATATAATTAATTACTGTTTAGATGATAAATTAAATATTTATTCATATATTATGATTTATCTATTGCCTCATTTTTGTTTAGTAACAAGTAGTTTTGTTGGTTTTGTTTTGACTTGCTGTTGTCTTTCATATTATAGTATTAATTATGAATAATTAGGTTTGTTGTTGCTTATATATATATATATATATATATATATATATATATATATATATATATATATATATATATACATACATACACAGATACATGTGTATATTTAATTACTGCCATTATTTGTTTATGAGTTTATTTTATTTTTATTTCTTTATTCTTAATTTTTTAATTATTTATTTTTTACTTAGTGCTTAGATGGCAAAGCAGTTATTTGTTTATATATATATATATATATATATATATATATATATATATAGAGAGAGAGAGAGAGAGAGAGATGAGATGCACGTATGAATGTGTATGTAAGTGTGCATGTGTGTGTATGCGTGTTATAAACGTCCTTGTGTCAGTATGCCTATGTGTGAATAGATAGGAAGATATTTACTTGCTTGAGCAGAAATTTAAACATATAACTCTTAATTAAGTATTCCATCGCTTAAACTATTAATACCTACGGTTCCATTTTAACAAAGGGTCGTCATTAATAAGTTATGGGCTGAAACCTGTAATTAATAACCCTTATTTTATAAACACCTATAGTTATGTGCTATCAGCCTAGTGTTTCGTAGCACATAAGGTAACTACTGAAGTTTCTGGTATTCGAATTGTTCCAGGGATTGGGGTGATTGGACCCACGCCAAACTTTCGTATTCTAACAAAGGGTTGCCTTTCTGTAGATTTTTCCTTCCTTAGACAACTACATGTTGCCACGCTCCCATGTTTCTTATTTTGATATATATATATATATATATATATATATATATATATATATATATATATATATATATATATATATATATATATAGCTTATTTTGAAATTTACTGAGTTTTATAAGCACATACATTCATAATATTAGTTTCTATGGATACAGGGAAATCCAATCATTTTAACAAGGAGCAGTAGGGTGTTCATTTCCACTGACAATTAATTCCAAAATTCGCTTGAAAATGAAACAGGACTAGAGACTTTAATGTTAATATGTAACCATGGAACCATATTTTAAATAAGTAGATTTAGATGGTAATTCCTGTGTAGCGATGGAACCATATTTTTAAATTAGTAAACTCTTATCCAGATAGTCTTTAATAAAAAACGACAATACTTAAAAAAAAAAGAGAAAGAAAAGGTCTGAAAGCAAACTTATCTACTCAGTAAAGAGCCCGAAGCCTAGATTGCCTAGAACGAGCAAAAAACGCTTAACCTTTAATAAGCATATACATATGTGTGTGCGTGTGTGTGTGAGTGCGCGTGTGTTTGTATGTTTGTATAAAAATTTAAATTTAAAAAACTATAATCCCAGTATAATGTATAACTACGCTAAAGTTGAGATAACTAGATATAGTTCTTGAAATTTAAACTACTTAATGGACTGAAGATTCCGTTGTGCATGAAACTTCGAGTTGTGCTTTTGGTGAGGGATAATATGTATATTTATTGATATTCGTATAGGCGTGTTTATCTAGAAATAAAATACGTTTAAATTCACATTCATCCCTGCTGTACGCCAATGGCTTAGGTAGATTATCCGACTGCTACCAATTCAGTCGGGTTTCGATTCCGGCTTGAGGCAATCGGATGTCTCGCTACACTGATGAGCTGTGAAACAGCGAAACAGTCTGTCTGTGGATGACAATATATACATGCTCCTGAAAAAATTATTTCGTTTGAGATCTCGGGGAAGAAAAGTGAATTTGTAAACAGTGACTATTACTGCTGATAATGCCACAGTCCTCGTTAAAACGAATCAAGTTTTCACGGTCACTGGCGTGTTTACCTAAAAATACGTTTAAATTGCATAGGGGTAGATTAGGGGTAGATACCAAATCAGTCGGGTTTCCAATCAGGCTTGAAGCAATCGAATGTCTAGCTGTGAAACAGTCTGTCTGTGGATGACTATATATATATATATATATATATATATATATATATATATATATATATATATAATTTGTTTAAAATATCCTAAACCCATAGTCTTTAATAAAATATATATTAACGGAGAATTGTTAACTTTGTATATATATTGACGGCAGCTCATCGTGAATGTATATTTTGCTAAAGACCAGAAAAAATGTTTATTAATTTTTTTTAATTAACTTCAGATTTAATCTCTCGTACGCAAACACGAAATCTAAATGACAAACATTCTTTATCTATGCTTTTAACAATACATTTATTCAATTTCATGGACATACTGTTACAAAACAAATAAAAGCTTTGCCGTCAACAAAGTCTTTATGAGATGATGACTCTATGGTAAGGCCTGGTTTCAGGGTTGTAGCATCATTCCCACAATTGCTTTTTTAGTTCTATTTCAGTCTCTGTACTTCGAGGAAGAGTGTTTCTAATGTTTTAATCTATTCTGATTTAAGGAAATTAAAAACAAATGTACGACGAATAATCTTTTATAAGATATCGTTTTTTTTTTTTGTTTTTGTTTTTGGTTTTGTTGTTGTTGTTACAGCGAGGGTCATCTTTACAAGGCCCTGGGGCAACTCGAGGTAGAAGTTTACGTTTTGAGGCCATTTGTGTGTATAAGATATATATATATATATATATATATATATATATATATATATATATATATATATATATATACACCCATATATATATATATATATATATATATATATATATATATATAAAAAAATACAAAACTGTTGGTGGATCTAATGGATAGCTTACCAAAACCTAAACTCTTATCCAGATATAGACTCGAATAAAGACGACAATTCTTAAAAAAGAAAGAGAAAAAACCTGAAAGGAAAATAGTGAACCCCTAAACAAAAACAAAACACTATGAAAGTAAAAAAAAATACATTTTTATAGTAAAAATCACCACAAATACATTTTTATATAAAGTTACCAACAATACTTATTTATAGTTAAATTAACAACAATACTTATTTATGCAAAATAACCAGCAATACATTTTATTGTAGAAAGACCAACAATACACTTTATACGTAGTTAAAGGCATACAATCGCGTTTAAAATGTTTAGATATCGGCATTAAATAACCCATAGATGTTGATATGGTGCTAAACAAAATCAACCAACCAACAAACAGTATGGCAGCCATTTTTTTCTCTAAATTTCTATCCAGCAAATTTAGTTTTTGTCTTTTATTTATATCATTATCAAGATGGTTATTGTTTATCAAATAGATTATTTCTCTTTGCAATCGCATAAAAATATTCGCTTTGACTGAAAACAGTAACAACTTTCAATACGAGATTTATTGAAATCATCCAATTTTTAACAGACATTAGGCGGACATTATTAGGCATTATTGCTTAAATTGAACTGTTATGATAATGGTAATAATATATATTTCCTTATAAGGAAACATTCGGCATTCATTGACCGAGCAGCCATTACAACTCTCGATTGAAATTTATAAAATCTTTCTATTAAAACAATTATTCAGGAAAATAGTTTTTTTTTCAAGTCCAGTAGCTGTTATTGCTCTTTCCAGTATTGATGGGGGATTCCTTCTTAATCTTTTATTTGAAGAAGTGTGGAACGTCAACGTCTTGATTATGTCATTATTTTCTCTTCGAGTTACATGTGCTATCCATTTTCGTTCTTGCTACTGTTGAAAGTTCTCAAAAGATTATGTTTCTGTTATTTGGTATCGTTCTTTGTCTGTGATTCCATAGCGCCAGTCGAAAATG